GGAGAACGGGGCCGCCCCCAGGCCATCCCCCCTCGAGTCTTCAGGGCAGGAGGTCAGGACCGGGGCTGTGTGTGGTGGCCTCAGACTGGCCAGGAGCCTTGACGCTGGTCTGAGAAGCTCAACTCAAGGACAGTCTACAAAACCAGAGTTGTCGCTTCTATGCCCAGATGATACGCTGTGACCCATGTGCGCAGATGATACGCTCTGAGCTGTGCCATCGGACAGCTTCTCTCCAGCAAGAGTCAGCCCTTCAAAGGTTTGGTCCGAGCATGGAGTCCCCAGGCAAGAAGAAATAGCCGTATGTGGCAGCCCCATATAAGGGCCCTCGAGCAGGGGTATCTCAGAGCAGAGCCAGATCTGGGGTGTCCCAGAGCAGGGCCGGGATCTGCGGTGTCAAGGCATGATGTGATTTCCAAACAGTTATCTAACTGCACGGCCGAAACATGGGAAATGTCCACACGTGGTGCTAGTTTTGCAAGCCGGCCTACAGGTGTATCGTTGCGGTTCCATCTCGAGTAAACAGTGTCGGCTGGAAAGCAGCATCGTGTTAGCTGTGTGGGTAACGGGAACGGAGGCCGTTGTATCCTTTTTTATTTTTCGGTCTTAGTTCTGTTAACGTGTATTAGCTTTATAATCAGACATTATTCTATTGAGAAAAGTTAGATGAGCCTGCAGGACAGAGAAGGCGAAGTTAAGACAGTGGTAACAGGAAGGGAGCCAGCAGCAGGTCTGGCTCCTGGTCACCAGAGCCACGAGGGAAGTGGCGTCAGGACACGGCTCTGGGTGTCCGGAAAGCAGTCCTTTGCTCCGAAGAGGCCAAGCTTTCCTTAATGCAGAAGATTCCGCGGAGAGGGCTTGCAGAGTCTGTTCAGCAGGCGGCCCGAGAGTAGACTGGTGCCGGACCGTAGCAGGGCCCAGTTCGAGCAGGACGTCAGCTTGTGGTCTTTACCAGGCGGCCCCGGTGCCGGTCTCCCTGCTGTCTCTGAGGCGGAGGAACGCGGTCCGGTAGATAGACGTTTGGTGTCGTGCCGTCGTATCCGGGAGGGTGAAAAGCTCCTTGACCTCAGGCAGGTGTGCCGCGCTTCCAGGCCTCGGGCACGCTAGCGACCGTCGTGCCAGGGCAGCAGGTGCTTCCGTCCCCGGGGCCGCTGCTCCTCTGGCTTCTCCGCGGCCTGTGTCCCCCGCCAGTCCTAAAAGACCTTTACGGACTGGTGGGGAAAGAGCCAAGGGAACACGGTTCTCACACCACTTGCAGAAGTAGACAGTCCATAAAATGATGGTGCCAAAGTAGCTCGAGGTGTGGGCCGTTGTCGACGTGGACGTGCCTCGCGTGGCCCTGAGCTCAGCTCCGTCCCTCCCGCAGCCCAGCCCCTCCTCCCGTCCCAGGTTAGCCTGGCGGAGGGAACCTCGTAAAGGAAGTCTGCTTTAGAGACCCCCAGCTGAAGAAGCCAGAGGGTGAGGTACATTTTGTGGAAAAGAAATAGATTCAAGTGTCGACTTGATTGGCTCCCTGCTGATAACTGTGACTGCTAATAAGGCAGAGGTGACAGCTTTGTTTCTAGGAAGGCTGAGTATCTTTCAGGTACAAATGGAGCCAAGGACAGCCGTTGTCCGCCCTCCCTGGCCAGCTCCTCAGGGAAAGGCTCCAGGGGGCTGGCCATCTGCAGGCTGGCCGATCTGGCCCCTGGCAGGCCTCATGTGACCCAGCCATCCCCCACTTCCTGACGCTCTGGCAGGAGACAGAGCGACTGTGGCTTCATCACATAAGATGGGACTGATTGGCAAGTGGAGAGAGGTGATTTAAAGACTGAAGACAGCTCCTGCTTCCTGGCTCGAGGCAGCCCCTCTGCCCTTTGCCATTGACGCCCACGCTCCTGGGCCTGTGCGTGTGTGGAGTGCAGCAGCAGATGACGCGAGGGTCCCTGTCACCGGGGATCAGGTGGGCGAGGCTCACACTCCTGGGCCCTCAAAGGAGCTCAGGACTGTCCCTGTCGTTGGGGTTACAAGATTTGTATCTTGACTCTGCTCATGGTGGATTTTCACACGTTTAGAAACTCCAGACTGCATCGTTGCAGATCTCAGGATGTGGACCTGGGAACGTGAGCTGAACCCTGCAGTGGCTTCAACCTAGTGTAAAATCCAATGCCCTGGGCGCCCGGGTGACTCACTCGGTTAAGTGTCCGACTTCGGCTCAGGTCATGATCTCGCCAATCATGTGCGAGCCCCACGTCGGGCTCTGTGCTGACAGCTCAGAGCCTGGAGCCTTTTTCAGATTCTGTGTACCCATCTCTCTGCCCCTCCCCCACTCATGCTCGCTCACACGCTCTCTCTCTCAAAAATAAACATTAAAAATAAAATCTGATGCACCAGAAGTGAACCACAAGGCTACAGAAGTTAGCAAATGATCCAGTCCCGACTTGTACACGAGAGCCCAGCAAAACGTGGGCGTCAGCGGAATGAGGTCTGGAATTCTGTATTCCTCACTTGTATGCCTTGACGTTGTGTGTTCTGTCCTTGCGTGATCTGCCTGGAAAGAAGACAGCGTTGTTTCATGGTGTGGAGCCGTAAAGGACACCGTGTCCACAGGCAGTGGTGGGAGGGGGAGGGCGCCGTATCCACACGCAATGGTGGGAGGGGGAGGGCGCAGTGTCCACACACAGTGGTGGGAGGGGGAGGGCGCCGTGTCCACACGCAGTGGTGGGAGGGGGAGGGCGCCGTGTCCACACGCAGTGGTGGGAGGGCTCGAGGGGCGCCTGTCTCTTCCTGGCAGAGTGACTGGCCCACGTGAGCCTCGAGATCTTCAGCCGTAGATGAGGGGTGTCCCCAGCTGCCTCGGGACTGCCAGGGGGGTTAGATCAGGAGTCAAGACAAGTGACTTAGCTCAGAGTCTGGTCCGTGGCCGTGTTAAATAATCCTTGAGTGGCTTGAAGCAGCTCCAAGAAACCTTTTGCTTTGCAAAGCCTCTTTCCCAGAAGCTCCCCTAGGAGACTGTGGTGGGGATAGGTAGGTCACAGGACTTTCTGGAGACATCTGAGCCCCACTAGGGCACACGTGCTCTCACTTGAGTCTGGACGCAGGTAGGTTGTTAGTGAGAACTTGGGCCCTTGAACGCGGGCCTCCACCAGTGGTCTGTACCCTGGGTGCCCCGTGCACAAAACCCATTCCCCACAACTACCGCATCTGCAGCCACGGCGGCCCACCCAGGCGAGAGGGCCGAGGCTCCTGCCCTGGAACTTTCCTACACACCGTGGTCCCCAGCCCGTCGGTCCCCAGAGCGCCAGCTGACACGCGTCAGAAGTGCGGGCCCTGGTGCCACACTGCAGGCATACAAAGCAGAGCCTGAAGTTTACCACAGTCCAAGGTCATGCGTGCACACTGTGCCCAGACTTACGGGCAAGCGTAAATGTGGGGCCCTGTGGCCCAGGCTGGTGCCGTCCGCTTTGCCCGTTCTGGGAAGTGCTCGCCAGTGTCTGATCTGGACCTGGGCCATTCTGTCCGGGGCAGAGGGCTGCGGGGGGGGGGTGACATTACCACGGTTGCAGACCAAACACTTTGCGCTTTGGGTTGGCAGTGTTTCGGTCACTTTCCTTCACAGAACTAACCTTTCGGAGGTGAGTGCGCTGGGACTGTAAAGTCCATCGGCGGCAGAGGGGTGGGGACTCCTGCTCTTCCCTCCAGGACATGTGTCCTCTCCTGTTGGCTCCCAGAGGAGCCCACCCCCTGCCTGCCCCGCACTCACACTCCAGCCTCTGGACTCCAGGCACCATCCAGGCTTCTGCCCAGGCTGCAGATAAGGGGGCCCAGAGGCGGGTTCTCGGCACACATGACGCGAGGTGAGGCGCTTGGCCCATCCGCGCCTTGCCCTCATGGTGTGTGCGGCCCGCCTCCGCGAGGCTCCTTCTCTCCAGCTTGGCTTCGTGCTTGGACACCTGCTCTGTCCCCTGTGTCCCGCCCAGTGACGCTGGCGGCCGGCCCTAGGGGCCAGGAGGGCGCGGGGCTTCTCTCCTTCAGGGACTCTTGCCCCTCTCTTCCTGTCTGTCCTGTGTTCTCGCCGGAGGTTAGTTAAGAGCAGCGTCAGGACTTCCTTTCCCGATCTCTTTCCATTTGTACGATTCTCTATCAGAAGACAGACGCACTAACGTCCCAGAACCTGGTTTGGACCCAAACACCTTTGCGGTTCCAGTTTTGAACCGCGTCTGGAGCCAGCGAGGCAGCCGTGCTGTTCACGGAGGCTGAGCGCCAGCTGGCGCTAAGTGGGGACCCTCGCAGGTGCGCAGAGGCCCAGCTCGCCCTCTGCTGTGTCCCCGGGGACCCCGCACGCGAAAGCCCAGAGTGGTGCTTCATGGGGTGACAAACGTCCCCTCCCGGGGTGGGTCATGTGGGGACATGGTAACTGGCAAGGTGATTGATAAGCAAAAGGATCTTTTCCCCAAACCACCTGCCCTTGAGGTTGGTAATGACGGAGCTGTGACACGGCGTCCTCAGTGCTCCATCTCCCGCCACACAGCCTTTCCCCTCCACGCTTTTCTCTCCTCCTGCCGCTCAGCACACACGCTCCCTCCTCACTGTGCTGACAGCCATGTCTTCTCAGGAAGAGCCAGACACTCAAGCAACCCAAAGTTATTAGCCGAACAGCCCAAGCTACATAAAGTGACAGGTGCTCAGAATAGATTGGCTGCATTGAGAAAGGCTGCAGCCCGCGGAACCTGGAGGAGCAAGACTGCGTTTTCACTGAAGTTAATAGTCACCCTCGTGTGTAACACTGGAGAACCTCACCTCTCTGCTGTCCCAGTGCTTTCCGAGCGTCTTAGACCCAGAAGCCGCCCCTCCGCACCCCCTCCCTGCGTCCTGAGTGCTGATGTTTAAATGTGTCCATGTGGAACATTCCCCGACAAATTGGTTTCCATACAGAGAAATCTGCTTCTCCTAGAATCTGCCCTGACAAAGTCTGGAAGCAAATCCATTTCTCATGGTCTTGTTCTCGTTCGGCATTGCCGCAGATCCTGGCGAATCTGGAGCAGGGCTTGGCGGAGGACGGCAGTGTGAGCAGCATCACGCCGGAGAACAGACGAGGTCAGTGCCCGACGGCTCACCGAGTAACTGTCCTCCCCGCCTCCTCTGTCCTCACTCACTGAAGCCTCCGTCCTCGCGTGCGGGAAACCACGCGCTAGGCCTGGTGCCCTTGGTACCTGGAGGACAAGCCCAGGCGCGAGGCCCACCCGCAGGGAGCCCCGTCGGGTGCAGGAGACCCGCCCGCACCCAGCTGTCCCAGAAGCCAGCGTGGCTCCCGCGGCGGGCAGGTGCTGGGGCAGAAAGGGGCTGGGCGTCCCTGGGGTGGGGGCTGCCCTCCAGAGCCACGACAGAGAGGGGCGCGAGGAGGCCCCCATGCAGGGGGAGGGGCCCTGTACCCGCCTAGGAGGCCAGGCTGGCCCTGAGCGCCGGGCCACTGGGAGCCAGTCAGGAGACGGGCTTCCTGGCTGTAACTTCTTGAGAACATGCAGGGTGAGCTGCTAATTACGCTCCAGAACCCACTCAGACGGCCTTGAGAGCCCCTCACCTACCCCTGCCTCCTCACGACCATCCTTCCTTCGGCACAGCGCCGGCCCTGTGGCACCTCTGGGGACTCGGCAGTTTCCACCCACGCGAGCCCCGGCCCAGAGCCGGCCCTCGGCGGCCACCGGCCAGCATGGCCCAGTGTGTGCCTGGCAGCCCCGTGTGCACCCGGCCCGGATTGGGCCCTTGGTGGCCACCAGCCAGCGTGGCCCCGTGGGAGCCTGGCCCGGATTGGGCCCTCGGTGGCCACTGGCCAGTGTTACTCTGGCAAGTGGTGCTTCCTCTGCAGCTGCTCCGAGGAGATTCACGGGCCAGAGGCGGTGAGGAGAGCATCCCCGCCGGTGCCCCAGGGGCAGGCGACCCTGAGAGAAGGAGAGAGGGGGTGGGCAGGAGCCGTTCACCTGTGGGGCCAGCCGCACTCTGCTGCTTTTATGCTTTCAATACAGCGTCCTTTGTGTGAGAGGCCCCAGAGGACAGCCAGGTTTGTAGGGTGTGTGTGTGCATTTGTGTGTGTGTCTGCATGCACCCCCCAACACACACACAGACTTCCCAGGGCCATAACTGCAGCTAGGTCAGCCAGGAGGCGTCGCCCACCCTCAGACATCCCAGCTTCTGGCACTGGGTGCCAGTGCGCATGCGAATGAGCAGACAGCTACTAGATCTCAGAAAGAAGATCCCGATTCCTAAGAGTCATAATAGAAACAGTTTCACGTGAACAGGGCTTCCTCCTCCCAGAGCTAAGAGGTAGCAATTGAAAGAGGTGCATGGGTGAGCCTGGGGGGCTCGGGGGGTTGAGCATCAGACTCCTGATCTCTTCCCAAGTGATGATCCCCGAGCTGTGGGATGGAGTTCCACGCTCGGTGGGAAGCCTGCTTGGGATTCTCTCTTGCTCGCTCGCTCTCTCTCCCAAAAAAAGGGAAAAAAACAGAAGTCCATGGAGACGACCTGCAGTTCACTGAGACAGTCCACATAGTACGTTCATTAACACAAGACACTTACTGTTGACAATTTACCACAAAAATGGTGTTGCGAGCACCTGATGTATTTTTAACTGCTTAAAGGCAAAGTGTGTTAAGTTCCTAGTTCTAGCGATGAAGTTTATCGTGTTCTTCAGCAGGTCCGAGAATCAGCATGCCTTCTAGGCGGTATAAGCCCACAGCCGCCCCCTGGTCCTAGCACGCGGGGAGGCCACGCTCAGCTCGTGGGCAGAGCAGGGTCGGCCAGCTCACAGAATGACGGTCATTCAGGCACCACCGTCCCCCAGGCCCGTGGGCCACAGCAGCCGCCACCGGGCAGACACCCCCAGGAAGCCAGCTCTGCTTCTGCGTCATGGCCGCCCTGCTGTGTCACACGGGAGGGTGCTCACCGCCACCATGACGGTGCCCACGGGGTCTGTGACACAGTTGGGACAGGACCTGCCATTTCCATTGAAAAGGCTCTGAAATGGAGGCCTCAGGAGGGCGACGTCAGCGGAGCCCAGTGTGCAGACACCCTGCAGCCCCGCGGCCCCGTGACCCCAGCCAGGTGGCCGTGGCCGGGCTGCGTGGTCCCCTGCCTGCCCTGAGGCTGACCGGTTACCTTCCTGTCCCATTGCTGTGTCCCTCCTGCGTCCCTTCTCCTCCCAGAGCCAAGAGCGCTGGCCTGATGCCCTGTGCTCCTCAGCCGTGCTGATGGGGACCTTGTAGGGCGGAGCACAGGAGCGCCGGGGAGGCCGGGGCACACCTCCCGCCGGCGCACGCTCACTGCCGCCCTCTCTTGCAGCCTCCGTTCGGCTGTGGAGGTCCCGCCTGGGCCGGGTGACGTGCTCCATGGCGAACTGCCTGCTGCTGATGAAGGTACGTGTGCTCCGGAAGAGGGTGGCAGCGGGCCTGCACAGGGACTGCCGCGCTCCGTGACGACAGTGTCCGCGGCAGCCGCGGGCTTCCCTGACTCACCCTGGGCCACATTTAGCATGTGCGGAAGGAGGTTTCAGCACAACGTAGAGTTTACACCATCACGTTTAAGTGCTCAGGCCTGCGTCTGGATGATCTAACTAAAATCCTCATTCATTCTCCCTCCGTCTCTCCTCTCCCACCCTCTCTCCCTGCCCCCCCCGACCCCCATTTCTTATATTTTCCTCTGGATTCCATCCCAGAAATAGAGCCCTTGCTCTCCCCGAGTTAGAGGAAGGGTTTCCCCTGGTCCTGACCAGACTTGCTGACCGATGCTCGTGGTACCAGGAGACCTGTGTCTCAGGGACACCACCCAGAGCCTTGGGCCCCCACCAGGGCGGGGGGTGGAGGGTGGCTCACAGATCAGGGAGGCTGAATGGATGCCTCGGTCCTTTGTTTTCTCATCTGTTCCCAAGCAGGCCCTCCCCAGCCAAACCACAGTGTCTGGCTCCTCCCTTTGGTGGGAGCCTGACCACCGCCAGCTGACCCCCTCCCCACAGCCGGCCAGGACAGGGGACCCGACCCCCCCCCCCACCAGTCCTGCCACAGCTGCTGCTGGGAAATGGACAGCTGTGAGCTGCTGCCGCAGACACCGAGGTGCAAACGCCTTCTGGACCCTTCTGAGACCCAGACCCTGAGTCCCCCACAGGTCAGCCCAAGGTCATTCCTGAGCTTAATCTTCAGCAAAGCAGAGCAGGATTGGGTGGCAGAGCTCCGTGGCTGGCCCTGGGCGCAGGCCTGTGAGCGGGTCATGTCCTAGGCGCAGCCTGGAGGGCTTGGCTTCGGGCATAAATGCACAGCGCAGCCCTGTGCCCGTCAGGAAGAGGACGCGTGGCCTGAACCTGTTGTGGGGCAGCTGCGCTGGGCTCACATGGCTCCTGTCCCAGTGGCCCCGGTAAAAGCGTGACACCAGGGCACAGACCATGACCCCACCACAGCCTGCGTGTCCCGGAGCCCTGGCGCCTGCTCTGAAAGGAGGCACAGAGCTGGTCTCCTGGAATCCACAGCTGTGACATTCACGCAGCCCCCTCTCGGCACACAGGGTGGAGGAGCTCAGTTCTCCCTTCAGTCTGCACGGCTGCCCCTGCTGACGAGGTGGCTGTCCCTGCGGTGACCACGGCCCTTGTCGTCTGGCACCCCAGGCACGTGCGTGGGCGAGGCCCTCCAGGCAGGCCGTCCTCCCCAGCCTGCTGGCCACGGTGGCTGGCACGGGCACCTGGGGCCCCGGTCCCCCGCACCGGCACCCCACCTGCTGATGCGGGGAGAGCGCACTGTACGTTCACAGGGCTGCCTTTTCATCAGTCCCAAGGCCGCAGGTCCCCAGGGGGAAGCTACCGGTTCCACGGCGATGCTTACCTGCGTTGTTAAGACACATTAATAGGGCAATATGGGATGGTTTCTGTGTCGCACTAATGAAACCATCAGGCACCCAACCTGTTTTCTACCAATGTCGTTGGGGCTCCATGGGGAACACATTGCTTCAAACGTACTTTCTGTTGAAAGCAATTTAATTCATTCTATGGGTTAAAGTGCACGTTCTGCGGTGAAGGCCTCCACGTGCTTGTGCACTGTTGCATGGTGAGCATGCACAGCTGCGGCGCGCAGGGGGTGGGGTCCTGTTCACTAGGTTCGTGCACTGCCAATGGTTGGTCCTTTATTCGGCCGTATCATCGTTCTGAGTAACATTTCTGTTACAGTGAAATAAATACTAACATTTTCTGATGAGAAATGTACATTTCAGCCCCAAGTACCCGCATAGTATACCCTGGGGTGGTTAGATGTGTCACGTGGCTGGGGACGTGCTCATATGATGTATTGTGTGGCTCAGTAACATGTGCGACACAGCTCGCGACATGTCCCCATGACTTAACATCAGGCGACGTACCGTCAGGCACAGTTATGTGTGTCACATGGCCCGGGACGTGTCCGTACCATGCACAGTTGGGCACAGTTATGTGTCACATGGCCCGGGACGTGTCCGTACCACGTAGTTGGGCACAGTTATGTGTCACGTGGCCCAGGATGTGTCCATATGGCATAGCATCAGGCGCAGGCACATGTGTCTCATGGCCCAGGGCATGTCCATATGACGTAATCGGGCGCGGTTACGTGTGTGATGTGGCCCAGGACACTTCCACATGACACACGGTCCGGCTCACTTGCATGTGTCACGTGCCCGCAGGACGTACCGTCAGGCGCAGTTACATGTGTCACGTGGCCCAGGGCATGTTCATGTGACATACCGCCAGGTGTGGTTCTGTGTGATGCAGCCCAGGGAGCATCCACCAGTGTGACATTTCAGATGCTGCTCCCCTTCCCTAGGCTCACGGTGTGTGGGCCAGCCTGCGGGTGGTGCGCCCCGGAGAGTCCCGCGTCTCCCCGCGCTTCCGGGCCACCCATCAGGGTGTCTCACGTCATGTGGGGCCCACGCAGGCGCATAGACCAGCTGCTTCTGCCTCAGTGTCCCCACACAAACCTTTTTTGGCCGCAGACGGTTGTGAATCCTGCTTCACGTTCGCCAGGCGGGCGTAGCCGCTGAAGGGGGAGGGGTGCACCCCAAGCCCGGCCCATCCCCCCCGACACACACACACACTGAGCAGGAACCAGTGCATGGGGGCCTGTGGGCGGCCAAGTTGGGCAGGGTCGGGCCAGCTCGCTGGAGCATTTTCCTGGGGAGAGGCTGGATTTCCTCCGAGTCTGTAAGTAAGCCGTTTCGGGCAAAGATAAGTTAGGGAAGCTCTTCACCCGCCCCCTCCTGCATCATCCGAGCACAGGCTCCTAGAAACGTTCCGGAGTCCATCCCCAAGGCCCTGGCCACCCCCGGGCATCTCCTGCCCCGGCCTGAGGAGAGGCACGGGTTCGCAGACCGACCTTGCAGGGAATCTGGCCTTCCGGCGGGCATGGTGCCCGTGCCCACAGGGCCGGCCTGGCATGTTCTCCCGGGAGCGTGTTCGCAGATCCACGACACCGTAACTACGTGAGGGATTGTGGTGAGGGATCATGGCTGGGGATTTTTCCATATCAGATCATCTTTGGAAACACGGACTCGCGGCCCCAAGCACTGAAACGCAGTTGTAAGACTGACACGTTGGCTTCCGTGGACTCGGCAGCCAGAAGTGGGCACCTCCCACCTCCACATCCTGGCTCTGGCTCGGCTGGGAGTGACGCACAAGCCAAGATCCGCGGCACACAGACCGGCCTGGATCAGCGACACTCAAGGGTTACAAGAACGTCAGACGTGCCTTTTGTTGGCTCGAAACCAACAGTGAGGGGTGGGTGTTAACTCACAGCAGGTGACTCCCTTGCCAGCGGGCGTCTGGGGAGGCCTCGTGCCTGTGGGCGCACCCTGTGCACCCTTCGCTGTGGCCTCAGCCTCCCCATGACAGGTGTCTCCTAGTGTGCGCACACACACACACCTGCTCATGCACACACACACACAAGGTTCACCCTAGCACGCACACCTACTCCTGTTTGCACATGCACCTACACACATTCACGCTAGCACACACACCTGTGCATTTTGCTCACGCTCCTTTTACGCATCCATTTGCTCACACGTGTGCAGGCTAGTGCATGCACATACTTGCTTATGCTTGTTCACTCCCCGTGCCCACGCTTGTGCTCATGCTTGTGCACACATATGCACCTCCTTGGTTTTCTCACACTCGTGCTTACACACACTTTGCTCATGCTTGTGCTCACAATTGTGCACACTCTTGCACGTGCTTGGTTTCTCGCTTACACGCACACACTTGCTCATGCTTGTGCTCACTTGGGCACAGACTTGTGTACCTGATTGGCTTCTCACTCTCGTGCTTACATGCACACCTGTGCACTTGCATGCACTCACGTGTACGTGCACTGACACACTCATGCCTGCTCACACATGTGCATGTGCACACAGCACTGGAAACAGCAAGGTCCTGCCGTGGGTGGAGATGCCGGGGCAACAGGGAGCCTCAGGAAAGGGAGGCAGGTGGCGAGAGGCTCCTTGTGAGCAGCACACCTTCAATACAGGGTGTCCAGTGAGCTTTCCTCGAAAGGGCCAGACGGGAGAGTTTTCTACTCTCCTGCTAAACTGGAGTTTTACTTGTCACTTGTCTTTATGTGGACTGACCGCTCCAATTAGCAAGCTAGTAGCTGCAGCCCCTGCTTGGAGCAGACCGCAAATGTGGAGGAGTGAAGCGCGAGCCGGAGGAGGGTGCCTGCAGCGCCAGGTTTCTTGCCGGCCGTATGCTGGGACCCGACTCGGGAACGGCGCGGCACCCGGCACTGAGCCTGCTCATAGACATCACAGTGATGTCTGTCACGGTGATCTCTGCCGTTCCGGGGAGCCTGGCTTTGTTGGGGGTCCTGAGACGAGCCAAGGGCCGTGTCCTGGGTGACTGTGGACTTCTTACTTGTGGACCGACGGGTTCCTTTACTTGGCATGAGCCGAGTGTCCCCGCGGGGCCAGTGCTGGGAGCGCAGCAGAGGAGGGGGCGCAGGACTGGGTGCAGAGATGGTCAGGCCGTGCCCAGTCCCCCAGGGCGGCGAGAAGGGTGCTCCGACGCGGGGGGAGAGGGCGCCTGCTGGGATGCACGGCCAAGCACCCTGGCCAGCAGAGCCTGTTGAATGTCCCATGTACGTGTCCCTGCTGCCCTCAGAGAACATTCCAGTGTTCTCCTGGGTGAGCCTGCTCTGGGGTCTCGTGCTCACTCTCAGCTAAGTTTGGTGGGGTTTTTTGTTTGCGTGTAAGGACTTTTCCTCAATTCCTAGCATAGAAAACGTTTAAGAGATGCTATTAATAAATTTGGTTTAGGGACGCCTGGGTGGCTCAATTGGCTAAGCATCCGACTTCGGCTCAGGTCATGATTTCATGGTTTGTGGGTTCAAGCCCTGTATCAGGCTCTGTGCTGACAACTCAGAGCCTGGAGCCTGCTTCGGATTCTGTCTCTCCCTCTCTCTCTGCCCCTCCCCCACTCACACTCAGTCTCTGTCTCTCAAAAATAAGCATTTAAAATATTTAAAAAATAAAAAATAAATTTGGTTTATGTCATTGGCAGATGGTGACAAGGTGAAATTCACCAATTCACTTAATTTTGTGAATTAAGGAAAGAAAGTGAGACAGTCCAGGTGAATTACTATTTGCTATTTATTTTTTTTTAATTTTTTTTTAATGTTTTATTTTATTTCTAGGAGAGAGAGAGACAGACAGCGTGAGCAGGGGAGGGTCAGAGAGAGAGGGAGTCACAGACTGAAACAGGCTCCAGGCTCTGAGCTGGCAGTCAGCACAGAGCCCGACGCGGGGCTCGAACCCACGAACCGCAAGATCATGACCTAAGCGAAAGTCGGACGCTTAACTGACTAAGCCACCCAGGCGCCCCACTATTTGCTATTTAAAAAGCCCTCAGCCCCCCAGGGAGAGGAAGGCATTTCCCCAGTCTGGTTACGGACAAAACAAAAGTTTGCCGCGTGTCAGGGGGCTTGTGCTCAGCCCCCAGGCCCAGCGCCTGGCACTGGGTTTCTGCTTCCTACCGGCCCACGTGTCGACGTGTCCTCTCTTCATGTGTGAGTTTGCAGGCACTTGAGCTTCTAATTTTGTACAACAGAGAGTGAACTTCTTAACCCAGATCGTTCTTTCGGGTTCTCTCCCCATAGGATTACGTGCTGGCTGTGGACGCTTATCACTCAGTCATCCAGTATCACCCGGAGCAGGAGCCACAGCTGCTGAGTGGCATCGGCCGGATCTTCCTACAGGTGTGGGCCACACGTGAGCCAGGGGGGACGGGCCCTGCGGGGGTGGCCAGGGACTCAGCGGAAATTTCGTGTTTAAGAAGCAGCACAGAAAAGATGTTTGATGTCAGGTGTCTGTTAAAGGTTTAGTTCTTTACTCTGTTTTGACGGTATTCAGTCCCACCAGCTTTGACGTGATCGGGAAGCCACATCGCTAAATGTGAATTTACAGGTTTTCCTTGGCAGAATATGGAAACCGATGTCTTTAGAAATCGTCCGGTTGCAGTAGAAGGGTTGATAAAACCATCAAGAATGTTCTTTCAGCTTGGCCAATAGTAGCGTAACTTGCTGATATCTTGCTGGAAAGGGCACTGAATCTGCGTGGACGCGCACAGGACGTGCCTCTGGAAGCGGTGGTCCCGAGGTGTGGGAGGTGAGGGGCGCACCCTCCCGCCAGGAGCACGGCCGAAGCCAGGATGAGCTTTCCCGGACCGCGTGGCGATGGAGTGATAAGTGCCCCTCCTCCCTCCCGCCTCCCGGGCGCCAACCCCACCCTTGTGGCCCCTGCCCCCCTCCCACCCCCAGTGCAGAGGCCTTTCTGCCGTAACATCGCGGGGCAGAGACCCTTCCGTGGTCGTTGGAGAAAGGGTCAGGCGTACGTCGAGCACCACACATCCTGAGCAGGCGCCGTGCCGAGCCGCTCCCCTGTGGGGACCATCAGCCACTTTACAGATTAGCAAACTGAGGCTTCGCTCTGGTTGAGTGACCCACCCGAGGTCCAGGAAACCGGTTGAACAAGGTGGCTCTGAGCCCAGAGCTTATTTCCACTAAAGGTGGGTCCCGTGCTCCTGCACCCCGTCGTCCATGCACACCCCCATCCTCCACACACACACACACACCCCATCCTCCACACACACACACACACATGCACACCCCCCGTCCTCCACACACACACATGCACACCCCCATCCTACACACACACGCACACCCCCATCCTCCACACACACACACACATGCACACCCCCCGTCCTCCACACACACACACATGCACACCCCCGTCCTCACTACACACACACACACACACATGCACACCCCCATCCTACACACACACACGCACGCACACCCCACCCTCCACACACGCGCACGCATGCACACCCCCGTCCTCACGACACATGAACACATGCACACCCCCGTCCTACACACACACACACACACACACACACTCCACATACACATACACACACACCCCACCCTCCACACACGCGCATGCATGCATACCCCCATCCTCACTCCACATACACACACATGCACGCACACCCCACTCTCCGCACACACATGCACGCGTGCACACCCACATCCTCACTACACACACACACACACACACACTCAGGCACACCCCATTCTTACTGGATGCACGCACATACCCGCACCTCTCCTCCTCCTCCCACAACCGCACCGCTCACGGGGAACACAGAGGGACCCACAGTGGGTTCCAGGGACAGCCTGACAGTGGAGGCGGCTGTGGTTTCGGAGCCCTTCCCAGGGCGCCCGGGGACCTCTGCTGTGGGGCAGGTGGGGGTGGAGGCTGAGGAGCACCGCTGGAGGCCGGAGGACCAGGCTTTTGTCTGTTCTTGGTGCTTGGCCAGCAGGTGAGCCCAGGAAAGCCACCGAGCGGAGCCACATCATCTCTACACCATGGATGCTCCTGAGTGTCCTGTGGGGTCACCGTGCAGACAAAGCAGGGCCCTCCTTGGAAGGGCACAGTGCTGTGGGGACGCCCAGCTGGCTCAGTCACTGGCGTGTGCAACTCTCAATCCCGGGGTTGTGAGTTTGAGCCCCGCACCGGGTGTGGAGATTACTCTAAAAAATTAAATTTTAATACAGTCCTGTGCCTGGGATCTAATAGGTGCTCAGTTATTACCCTGATTATCAAGATAAAATATCCTGTATCTGCTCTAATTCCCCACCACTCAGGGTATCTCAGAAAGTTCATTTCTGCGTCCTACTTTACGTAATTGAAGGACTCCACGCTGGACTTCATTTAAAGTCCTGAGATACAAAGCACACCTTGCCGTGGGAGTCATGGGTCTGACAAGACTGAGGTGCGGATCTCAGGTCTGACTGCACCAGAGCCCGCGGGGACTTTTGGAGACTTCCCCGCACACGTTTCCGGGCCAGCTCGTCGAGAGGGTCCAGAGCTTCCATGGCTCGGACCCCCCGCCTGCTCTGGGGAAGGTGGCGAGCAGTGCAAGGGAAGCTCTTGGTGTCCCCGGTTCTCAGGGCTGAGGAGGTGACTCGTGGTCAGGAATCCCCATGGGAGGAAGACGGGTCACGAGAGGCAGGCTGACTGGACTCCCTCAGGTCCCCACTAGGTGGCCAGGACACCTTACCACTGCGGACCATGTACGCCTGTCACTGATGCTTGTGTCCCCGAAGGACAGCTGTGTGAACTTCGGTTTTGTGAAGGAAATGGAGATGGCAGTGCTCACTGTCTATAACGTGTTCCCACCAGAGCTGCTCAAAGATGGCCTCACTTGGTTCACAGGTCATTTGTTACCTCATCTGCGTGCCACGCAGAGCAGCCGGGTGTGGGCAGGGTCTTGGGTGGCCGGGTCAGCGTGCCGCCTGATGCGTGGGGAGCTGAGGAGGAGAGAGGGTGGCCGCTGAGCGGGTCTCATGCTCGCACATCTGGAGCCCTTATGGAAGCCGAGCTTCGATGGCACATAGGTGTGACGGGCCAGCTTGGTCGTGCACCTCCCGTGGCCTGTCCTGTGATCCGCCAGTGATGAGGTGCTGCGACAGAGAACCGCTTCCTGACCGCTCCATAGGGAGCCCTCCGTGCCGCCTCAGTCCGGGTTCACAGCACAGGGCTCCCTGGGAGAAGCCACACGGTGGCTTGAATTCACAGGGAGCTCCAGGGCTTTCTGGACCCCTGCAGTACAGAGCAAGTCCACGGGCCCACTGGCCATTCCATATGGCCACGCCACTTGGCCCTGCCCTGAACCCTCACCTGCTTCATGACACCCGCACGCTTGGGTTCAGAAACGGTGCTGGGACGGCTCCTCCAGGCCCGTCTCCTGCTGAGGGCTCGTGGCATCGTCCCCCCAGAGGGGCCCAGAGGCAGCGTGGGGAAGTGCTTGGGGCGTCCCTGCCCCCAGCCTCCAGCCCCAGCTGGCTCCGATCACCCCGGACTACTACCTTAGCCTCCTGCAGTGCCGTTCCGTTCCGTCATCCTTGGTCACGTGGCTTACCCATCAGGTGAGCTCACACCTGGAGCCCACGTTCAGGGCCCCCCCAGATTCGCCACTAACTTCCACCCTCCAGCCTCCTTTTCTTCCTGCTCGGAGGTCCTTTCCCTCTGCCTGCCTGTGCCGGTCCTGCCCATCCTGCAGGGAACCGCAAGGTCTCCCGGACACCTCGATGAGCCTTCCTCTGACTTCTGTCCCAGGGCACACAGCTCAGGAGCTGAGCGGGAGAAGACAGGCGGAGGAAGCCAGTGCAGGGCCGTGTGGCTCTGGGCAGGTCATGTAACCTCGCTGGGCTTCGGTCCCCTCTGTGAGATAGCATGTCGGGGACCCCTGCGGAGATTGGACTGCGCACAGGGCCTGGGACACGTGTGGTTTAGTGGCCTTCTGTGCCTCTAGGCCTCCCACCGGACTCGAGCAGTGGGGCACGCCTCCTGCCTGCCAGCCAAAGGGCAGAGCCACCCTGGAGAATGGCTGGCCCCACGATGTCGGGGTGGGGAGCTTCCTAGAGCCGCTGAGGCACACAGGCTGGGAGTCCACAAGCTGCTGTGAGACGTGCACGCAACGCCTGGCCACGTGGACGGGCCACGCTCCAGCCCCAGAGCCGTCCTTCCGGCACGTGTGCTCCTGTCTAACCTTGCGCCTCAGCTCAGATGAAAGACGTGTTGGATTATCGCATAAGATGATGAGAAGCAGTCACCGAGGGCGAAGCCTGGTGTGATCTGTTAGGCGGCCCCGAGAGGCCCGTGATGGTGCAGAAAGAGGAAGTAAAGGACCAGACTAGCCAAGTGGAACGAAGCTTCCAGAGAATACCACCCGGCTGGGCACTACACCGCACTGGGTATCACACTGCAGTGTCCCACCCTCTGTCGGGCCAGCAGGCTCAGCCACAGAGGAAGGCGCTTGGGTGGATACCCGGGGGGCAGACGTGTGCCACGTTGTGTTACATCTAACAAAACGTACTTTACTGGAGAGGAGCTACCCTCATTCTTTCCAAGAGGCTCAACCTAATTCCCGTTACGAGCGAAGGGTCGGCTGTTCAGTCTGTGCACTGATCACATGATGGGTAGAAAGACCTAACTCAGGCACACAGGTCAGGACAGAATGTTTTAGATGCAGTCAGTACCTGGATGGAAGGGAGCAGGCCCTCTGCTCCCACTGCACACCAGGTGCCTGGGCCTGCCCCTTCTCAGCCCCGAGTCTTTCTCCTGCCCAGCCTCCCGAGAGCCACAGCCATCCATGCAGAGGACGTGAGCAGTTGTTACGGGGGTCTGGTGGGACAGGGGCCCCCCTCCTAAAGGCCCACGGAGGCTGCAGACACAATAGGGGTGCTCTGTATTGGAGGGAACCCCTCGCATGATCCACAGAAGGGCGGATGAAACACGTGCACACGCACAGGAAGCGTGTCTTCACACTTTGCGGTGACTCCACACTCGAGGCCCCCACCCCGTCTTTCAGCCCGCAGGAGAGGAAGGGTTGGGGGGGTCCTGGGTGCCGCCCTCACGGCCGCAGAGTAGCCTTCTGTGCCGCTGGTACGTTCCGGAGCCTAGCGCAGAGCCAGAAGCAGGCGCGACCTGGGGGGGGAGGCGGGAAGTGCGGGCAGACCAGCCTCGGTGGCAGCGCTGACCAGCGGAGAAGGTGACGCTCAGTCCTCGGACACCCCGGTGGAGGGGCCTCCAGAAGTGGGGCGTGCCCAGTGTGCTCCAGGGGCGGCCACACGGCCGGGAGGCGGGTGTGCAGGGCAGTGGAGGCCTCTGCGGGGCGCGGGCCGTTTGTCCG